GCCCAGCGGGTGCGCCATGTCGGCCAGCTGCACGCCGTACTGCGCAAACAGGCGCGCACGCTGCTCGTGGCTGCCGGGCGCCGCGGCGTGGGCAAAGGTGAGGCAGTCCTGGCGGCGGATGGTGTTGCCGTGGGCGGAGCCGTGGGCGGTGTTGAGCGACGTCTCCACCACCACAAGCTGCGGGGAGGCGGCGGGCGCAGGGATGGCATGGGCAGGTGAGCAGCGCGGGGCGGGCAGGCAGGCAGCCAACAGGAGGCAAGCTTTTCAGCAGGCGGGCTTCCACACCCCAGCCGGGCGGCAGGCCCTCGAGGCACGGCGAGCCCGCAGGCGCCCCCAGCAGCCATCCAGGGTGGGGCCACGCGGTGGGCGCATTCGGGAGGCCAGAGGCCAGAGGCCAGAGGCCGGGCCAGACCTGCGGGTGCCGCCTCATGATGAACTCAGCCACCTCGCTCTCGTTGCCGCCGTGGATCACGCCAAACAGGTGGATGGCGGCGCCGCCCTCGGGAGGCTGCAGCTCGACGTGCGAGGCGGCGGTGTCGGCGGCGGGCGACGGCGCGCTGCCGGTGACCTCGGGCGCCCGCTCCGCGGCCGGCCCGGGCAGCGACGGCGCGGCGATGGGGTGGTGGCCGTGCTGGCGCGGGAGCGGCGGCGCGGCGACCCAGCGTGCCGCCGGCTGCTGCGGGCGGCGGCGCGGGCGTGGACGTGCCGCCGCCCCGCAGCCTGCTGCTGCCGAGGGCGCCATCTGCGCTGCCAGCGCTGCCGAGCACGGCGGCTGCGGCGGCACTCCTGCTGTGGCTGCGGCGGCGGCGCAGCTCGGGCGGCGCATGCGCGTGCCATGACTGGCGGCCGTGGCACGCTGCATGGCTTGGCGCCTGGCTTCTAGTGGGAGGTGGGCGGGCACTCCAGCCTGCACTGCTGCTGCTGCACACCACTTGGCCAGGCCACCATGCAGCGACCTGCACAGCGGGAGCAGGCCGCAGCCACGGCTCAGCACCGGCTGCAGCGGCGGGGACACGGGCGACAACTTGCGGCAGCACAGCGTCGGCCTTGTTGGGGTGCAACCTCAGGCTTGCCCACAGGGGGCAGCAGGTCTGATGTATGCTTGTCATTTACCATGCACCCCCCGCTTTAATGTAGGCAAAGGGCAGCAAGAACAGTGCGCAGGCAGCGGGCACGCTGATCCGTCGTGACGACGAGGGGGTGGCGGCGGCAGTGCGGCATGCAGCCTGACGGCGCAGGCGCCGCTGGCAGCACTGCCCAGCGAGCTTCTGGCTTTTACGGGACGCAGGGGTGCCAACTCGCACTGTAGCACAAGAGACTGGTAGTCACCCAAACACACTCGCTCAACCAGGCGCGTTCGGCAGCGCCTGACCAGATCAAAAGCATGCGGCAGAGCCACTCACAGCCTCTGTATCGGTCCCACGGTGGGAGGCGCTGCCAGGAAGGGTTTTGGCGGGCGGTTCAGGCCGTGCAGGCACAGGGGCGAGGGCACAGGCCCGTGCAGCCGTTTGTGACAGTGTATGGCGCTGGTAAGGGAAATGAGGAGGGAGCGGCAAGGAAGGCCCTCCCAGCCTGCTGTGGCCAAGCACAGCAGCGAAATGCTCAAGGCCCATGGCAGCACTGGGACCCCCCGCAGATCGACCCGAGTGCCAATTTCACTGCCGGAGGGTTGCTGGGGCAGCCTCTGGCCTGGGACCTGCTGCCGGGGTGCTCAATTCTGAACCATGGCAGCAGCGAGGTTGGGGAGGTGTCTGGTTGGCATCGGCCAACTAGCAATGTGTGTGGAGACCAAGAGCAGGCCTGTGCAGGTGCGGGAAAGCAGGAGCCACAAGAACCCTGGTGGCCGGCGCGAGATCGCCGTTCCCGCCCTGCACAGGGGCCATGGGAGCCCCGCTCCGGTCGCAGCATCGACATCGAAGTCCGTCGACACGCGCTGCACTCCCGCCCGCAGGTGCCGGCGGCGGTGGCGGCGGCAACGCACCTCGCCCGTGGCGCCAGCAGCAGCGCCGCAGGCCTGGGCAGCGGCAGCCCCGCCTGCCCCTCCTGCGGTTCCACCATGGTCGGCCAGGTGAGCTGCCTGCTGAGCTGCAGGCTGCTCCGCACAGGCCTCTGCCAGGTGTCTGCTCCGCGCGCTGCGGCCAGGGGCCCATGCTGCCCGGCCGCCGCCGCGCTCTCGGCTCTCTCGCCGCTCTCGGCGCCCTGCCCCATCCCCTGCCGCTTCTGCCGCCCGGCCGCCACTTGATTAGGGCCTGGCGAGTGCCGCCTCCGGCCCAGCCAAGTTCAAGTTTTACTGGTGCAGCGCATGCAAAGTATGTGTGCTGTCTGGTGTCCCCGGCATTGCGTGACCCTGTGCCCGTCCCGTGCCTGGTGGTGGTGCGTTTGTGTGTGTGTCCGCTCGCCTCTATTTGCCCTTCTACGCTGCAAGATGCGCCACCCAGCAGCTGGCAGCCCCCGCCTCCCTGCCGCGTGCCGCAGCGAGCAATGGCCGGC